TCGTATTCTTCTTCATCAATTTTGAACTCATACAAGTAGCTTACTGAATGATCAGATGGAATAGTTTTAGACAAACATAATGGTCTTGAGTCATCCTTTTCGACACAATCAACATAAAATACTCTCTGAACCTTAATGCGGACGTTCACCACTTCATTGCCGCCACTTGATGTATTAACGAGGAACAATCTGTAAACACCCGGCGAATCTGTACGATTGATATGAACAGGAAAATAAGACGCCGATGAATTAATAGGATTTTGTCTCTTGAACAAAGAATTGGATGTTCTATCAGCATAATCTCTTCTCGCATTTCTTTGCGTCTTCCACTTTGTTTTCTGAACTTGTAACCATTCCTGATAGTCATCAAAAGGATTCTTGTCATTCTGACAATCGACATGACTTTTAGAGAGCTTTTTAAGAAGCCTTTGTTTCTTCTCAACGGGCGGTGGTTCCAGCTTCAACTTTTTTGAACCAATATCTTCAATATCAATCTCAACGACTTTAGGTTTCTCAGCTTCGAGTTCGCTTTCATCAGAGTCTGAATCTTTGTCTTCAATCTCTTTGACTTTAAAGAACTCGTCAATTTTTCTTTGTTGCTTGCTCGAGACGCCTCTTGTAACCCATTCAGGTGGTTTTACTCTTGTAACCAAACCAGTAACTCCTTGCATTGCTGCGGGAATTGTAACAAGTTTTTGGATCACAGAACCAACTCTTTCAAGATAATAGTCCCAGTCTAGCAAATCGCGAATATCTGTTGTTGTCAGTAACGAGTCCTTCATCCATCTTCTCAGATAATACAAACAAACTTGTTCTTCAGCCTGAAAGATCGCTATCGGAATAGCACGTTCTGCAACTGGGGCTCCTTGAGGTTTTGAAGCAATAATGAATTTACAAGCCAAACCTTTCTCTTTCACCATTTGATCACCAAGGAACTCAGCGAGTCTTTTTGCTGTTGTAATGGATGTTGATTTTTGTTTTCCGTATTCTTCCAAAGCCTTAGACATTGATCGATTCTCAGAAATGTACTCAACAAGCTCATCAACAGTAATGCCTTCACCTCTAGTAAAGAGCATATCTAGCCAACGATCACAAACCTCTGCTAAATGACTGTAACATTCTTTAAGATTTGTTCCCTGCGTAATAACATCAAACACCTGCTCTTGGAACACTTTAACCATTTTTAACTCGCCTCTTCTTTTAACTTCAAATCCCTTCAACTCAGATAAAGAACCATCTTCGTTGAAAACCGCATATCTCTTTTTGAGCAATCTGTTCTCTTCCGTAGACGCAGGCAACATCATTCCATGATAAGGACCATCAACTTCGAAAAAGATGGAGTTCTCGGATCTAACTTCAAAAGTATTATTCTCAGGATCGACCAATTCATGATACTGATTGTTTGTAAAGTTCGAATGAACCATGTGGTTCAGCAATGAGCAGGGGTAGGAAATACTGATAACTTTACCACTCTTCAATTTCATTGCATAGTTTTCAGGAAAACCTTTTGGAAGCATACACCAGATACCATCAGTATCCAACTCCAAAGGCTTTCCAATATCATCAACTAATTCACGAGCCATTCTGATAATCTTGGAACCCGTGTAGCAAACAATACCAGCCATTTCCATGGAGTACCATCTTGATCCTTTTCTCATAACATACCCGTAAAAGCTGTTCAGAATACACTTGTGTGCCAATTGTAAGGAGTCCATCAAAACAACCATCTTCTCTTTGACCTGTGCATCAGCTTCCGCATTATTCTTCCATTCTTTCAATTTGGCTTTGTACTCGTATCTTCTATCTCTGAAGTTGCGAACGGTATCTACGTAAAACGAATTCTCTCTTTGGCAAACAATAGACTTCTTTTTAGTTTGTTGAGTTTGCTTGGTTTTATGATAAACTTTCTTACAATATTCAGTTAATCTTTTTGTAATCTTTTGCAACTGAACTGCTTCAGACAATTCATTAAACTTTTTGCCGTTTTCAAATGTTTCTTGCTCAAGTTGATTTCTAATCATATTGTATTCGCTCTTCAATGCAGGAAAGTATTCTCCTCTCCAAACCCATTCCATTTTTCTTTGACACTGCTCTTGCTCATCAAAGTACTCACACCTTACACAATCATCTTCGGTAACGATTGCTGGCGGTTGCAATCTGTTTGTTAAAATAATATTAGGATACATGGCTCCGACATCCAAATGATAAATCAATGGCTTCCTGTGATCATTCGGATTCATTTGTAAATCCAGCAGTTCTTCTTTAATTTGAGCACAAATCTCATCAAAGTTCTCAACATCTTCCTTTTTGGTCTTGTATTCAGTCTTTAAACTGAATTCCAGAACATCTTCTACCGATGCAGAAAGCTCTTGTAACTTCCCTGGATTCATCTTGAACTCAATAGGAATATCACTACGATAGATACCACTTTGCAAAGCTTCAACATGACCTCCAACATAAGTCTCTTGCAGCAACAAGTGACCTTCATAGAACACACCCTTTTGTTCTTGATGCTTGTTTGGCATGATAACATTGGCTTTGTACGCTTCAACCATCAACAAGCATTCGCAAAGAGTTCCAGAACCCTTTCTCAAGACGTCATCTGGCAACAATGGAATGATATTACATAAAGAGAAAATGAAAGTAAAGATATACTTCTTGTACAGATAGTACGTTGCAACAGCATCAGAAACAGAATAATCAGCCAGAATCTCTGGTTTCTCATAAGCATAAGGAGTCATCAATTCAGGATCCAATTCTTTAGGATCATAACCCAACTTGTACTTTGTAACAGATTTCAAGCCCTGAGAACCAACCGGAAGATATGAATCTCTCTTGACCCATTTTAAACAATCCATATGAGAACCATACAAACATTCATAGTAATCATTATTTAAAAACACACCAATTTCTTCCTTCATGTCAAGACCATACACTTTGGCACGATATTCAACATAAGGAAAATCAAAATAGTCACCGTTGTAAGTAACATATAACAGAGGCTTCAACTGTTTCATATGTGTAAAGAACCTTTGAAGCAGCGCTTCTTCAGAGCTTTCATTGTACACAACAAAATTGCCCTGGTACTCTTCCTTTGGGGAATATTCAAAGCTCTGCAGATCCTTTGAGACAATGTTCCTGTTAATGATCAAGTAACCCTCAGAGTCCGAAACCATATAAGAGATCATCATAATTTCGTCTGTTTCCATCGACGGAAATTTCAATGGCTGTTTCGATGTCTCAATATCAAAAGCACAAACAGGAAAATCAGGAGGAATGATCAGATCATAATTCCTTTCAATAAGAATGTCCTTGTCTTCAGGGCTCAATGCGTACCAGAGACCAATTCTGTAGTCGTGATCAATCATTACACGAGTAATCAAGGAAATGTCATATTCCTTCAGATCGCTGATCATTGATGATATGCTGTCTGTTAGCGAACTGGAATTTGTGTTTCCGTAATTCACTCTGACCATTGAATTGTTCCGAAGTTCCCTTTGCAAGTTGCGGCGTGTTTCAATCAAAGCCTCGCCAGTGTCAAATTCCAACTTAACAAACGACTTCATTTCGCCACTTAAATGGTTAACAGAGTTCAGACAGGTCTTCTTCACAACGGAAATTCGAGTTACGGCAGGCAGCTTCTGTCTTATGAGCTTCTCATCGATTGTCGCAACACCATCCCTAAGCTCGAGCAAAATGTACGGGTTAAACTTCTTCTTTACACTGAAGCATTCACCAGTTTGCTTAATAAAGAGAAAGTACAGAAAATCTTCTTCTTCTTTTATGTTCAAAAGAAAAGCATTAAGCGTTTCCGTAAGGAGTTCTAATGGCCTGAAACCGAACCGTTCAAAGTTCATACTGGTTTTCTTTCAGGACAAGATTCGAACGAAATGCAAAGTTACAAGAAGATTGTTGAGGATGTCAGGCAGAAAGGAACACCCCAATTGAATATCAGCAGATATTCTGTAAAGACTATACCAGACGATCTATTCAAATCACTCCCATACATCACATCCCTCAATCTTTCTAATTGCTCACTATCATCAATACCTGACAACATATCACTACTCTCACAGCTGGAACATTTATCGTTGTTCTCTAACCAGATCAAGACATTGCCAACCTCTTTGGCACAATTACCAAGACTATCAACTCTGATATTGAGTTGTAACAAGATTCAAGAAATGCCGAATGGATTTGGTTCATGCCCTAGCTTAAGAGTATTGGATCTATCAAGTAATGAGATTAAAGAGTTACGGAATAACTTCTTCTACTTGTCTACACTGAAGTGTCTGTACTTGAGCGATAATAAGATGGAATATATTCAAGGTGATCTAGGAAAATTGGTTCAAATGGAGACGTTGGTGCTTCGAGATAACAAGCTACGATTCTTACCACTGGAAATATGTAACTTGATCAAATTAAAAGTATTGCTGATTCAGGGCAATAAGATTGAATGGTTACCTCCAACAATGTCAAAGTGCGCTGCAATTCAGACAATGAAACTCAGTGGAAATCCTCTAGCAAATGTCCTTGTTAAGCAACTGGTAGTTTCTGTACAGAGCACAATCACCTACATCGGAACAGATGAATACTTGAAACACTATGAAAAGGCCGCAGAGATTGAGCAAAAGAAGTTGGCCAAATAAGCGCGTTACGGGTGATATGGCAGTTAAGAGTTGTTAGAAATAAATCATTTCAAAGTGATTCTTGTGGTTGTTTTAATTAAGGTTCAAAATGTCCAATGAGAAAGCTTTTCGCGTGAAACAAGAAAGCATCCAAAATCCTCACGAAACTTTTCTTTAATGTTATAATTCAACACCTCTATTGGACTATCACGTGCGGTCTCTTTCCGTTTTGGGATATCTCATCGATATGGAAACAACAACAAACAATGATGCTCAATTGATTTCTTTAACGTGTTAATAAAACATCATAATTAACACACTTCCTTGAATCCTTCGTTGAAATCTGTTCTGTACTACAATAGTAAACGTGAAGCTCATATGGTATAATGGTCATTACTCAGCATTGTGGCTGCTGCAATCCAGGTTCGATTCCTGGTGTGAGCATCTCTTTTTGTGGATTGTGGCTTTTTTTTGGATCGTTCAAGACGATACAACTGCCTCCTCTTCTAAGAAACCACCTACAAATTTCGTATTTCAATTTTATTCCAAACTTTTTACATAATATTCCCGAGGAGCATATAGTTTGATGCTGCTTCCCCTTGTAACCCATACCCGTTGACAATCTCAAATCCAGCATACAAGAATGCCTTGGTAACCGTAATCATTTGC